GCATGGTCGTTTCCGGGAAAACCTTCTTCCTTGGTGAAATGAGCCTTCTATGGACTCATTTTGAAACTTTGTTGCATAATTTGATCTAGAGGCTTTCTAGACCTTTCACATTAGTTTTATTTTCTTTTTTTGACATGGTCGCTTAGAAAATGTGATTTTAGGAGGGGTTTCTTCTTCATGTTTTTCCAGAAAATGTTGTCTTGATACCGGAAATCCATTGCAAAGTTCAGCTTCCAGTTTCACATTTAGCAGTTTTATGACCCTCATGACCAGATTTCTTGAAGGGGTATTTTGGGCATTCTACATTGAGTTTTTTTTTGAATTCTCATGTTTGTCACATAGAAAACTCGATTTTGAGAGGGGTTTCTTTTTCGTGTTTTTCCCGAAAAATTCATCTTCTAGCCCGTTTTTGCTCTTAGTTGCGGACAGATTCTGAAAACAAATCTTGTAGCAGCTTTTTGGGTCACTCTTGACCTAGGCTGATTTAGGAGCATTTGAGGGATCTTACGGCATGTTTTTCCCGTTCCTTCAGCGTTGCCGGGTGGAAAACGTGATTTTAAGGGGGGTTTCTTATTCGTGTTTTTCCAGAAAAACTAGTTTAAGGGTCTGTTTTTTGCCTTAGTTCCGAGAAAAAAAATCAAATGTTGCCTGCTGTAAAAACACTATTCCTGCCCAGATTTCTTACCCAGAAAATAAGTTGATTTTTTTGAAACTTTGAGGCTTCATATCTTTATTATCCGGACTCCAAATCAAGTGATTTTTGAGTCTAAGTTTATTAGTTCTTGCTGATCTATATAACGGTATGCACAGTTGCATCAAATTATATCTGAAAAGACCATTTTACCCCTTGTAAAGTACCCTTGCCGCACTGATTTTAAACCCAAAAGTTGATTTTTATGAAACTTTGACGTTTCATATCTTCTTCGTCCGGACTCCGAATCAAGTGATTCTTGAGTCTAGATTCATTAATTTTTCCTGGTCTATCTAACGGTATGCTCAATTGCATCTATTTTTGTCTGAAAAGACCATTTTACCCCTTGCGAAGTACTCTTGCTGCATTGATTTCAAACTCAGAAGTTTGATTTTATGAAACTTTGGAGTTTCATATTTTCTTCATCCAGACTCCGAATTAAGTGATTCTTGAGTCCATCTTGATTAGTTTTTCGTTGTCCTTCCAGTGGTGTGCTCGGTGGTACCCGAGTCTATGGTTTTCATAAATGACTATTTTACCCCTGGGGGCTTATTTGTCATATTTTTTGTCTTTTGCTTTCGCATCAGTTCTCATTGAGTTCCATGACCTCATGAAAGGTCACTTTGACTTCTTAGAGTCTTGTTTTCTATTTTCGCTTCCGCATTCGGATCCGTTATCGGGTCAATCTTCGGTTCATCACAGGACGCACTGGCTTGAAAAACCAAGGCCTTCACAAGGATGTTGACGGAAAACTTAGAGACGGTGGTTTAGAGTTTCAAAATCTAAAACTAAAGGCAAGTCTCTGTTCTACTCTTTCCCTTAAATCTGTGTTTTGTGCATGCCTAGCTAGACTCCAGGGGTTTAATGAATGCTAAAATTGAGTAATTATGCATGCTTAATTGGACTAAAACAGAGGGTGTATGATTTTGTTTTCATATTCATGTTTTGAATGATTCTGGAAATTCTTGGTGCAATTGATGTTTAAGTTTAATCTTTGCATGTTAAAACATCTAAAATAATTTATTATGGACGTATGGGACTTAGGTTGAAGTTTAGTGGCCATAACAATGAAGTTTTAGGGTTTACAAAGGTTGAACAGACGAAGAAGACGACTTCAGCAACAACTCAGCCGACTAAGTTGGGAACTCAGCCTGCTTAGTTAGGAACTCAGCCTGTTCAGTTGGGAACTCAGCCTGCTCAGTTGGACCGGGACCTGGATTTTGGTTTTAATTGCCCCGAATTATTTCTAAACCTATTTTAATTAATCTAAATGGGTTTAATGGACTTAGGAAGATCCTAGAATGCATCTTATATTTATATATGCAAAGAAGGTGGACGGTTTGAAAATTAAATAACTTATACATTGTTTAGATCGGATGGAAGGGTAAATTTAATTGCTCTGACAATTGAAATTAAGGTTTAAACGGATTAAACAATGTTCATGAAACGTTATATTTGTTTATCTGAGATGTATGTTAGTGACTTAGAGGGTAAGTTAGCTGCATGCTATTTAAACTATGGTATTGCTTAAATAAATGCAATAGTTATCTGTATGATGTGTATCATATTATCTGTGAATTAAATTAAGGTATTATTTTTTATATTGCATCATTTATTGGACTAAATGGTTTAATTTTGTATCATAATATTTCTGGTTTAATTAATGTGTTATTATTTTGTTGCATCATTTGTTGGACTGGATGGATTAATGCACCGGTATGGGACGGTGGCATTCTAGGGACGGATTAACCGAAGATGTTAAATCCTACCTAATCTGGATTGAGGTATAGATTAACCACAAAGGTTAAATCCATCTCCTACTTGTGTCATGTCAATAAAATAATTGAATGACCTACTTTGATTTCTGGATGGATTGTTATACATATATCAGACCACTATATTAGATGGATGATATTTTGTATTAGGAGTATACGGACTTTATATATTTATGATATGACCAATAGGCCTGTGGTCTAGTGGTATTAGACTCCTATCTCTAAAAGGAGGTCAGGAGTTCGAACCTCAGTGGAGGCAGTGTGTGTGAGTCCCAACTATGAAAATATATATATATATATATATATATATATTTATAATATGGTGCCATGGTATGAGTTGAGTCTCAGAACTATGGTTAGGGTGCATATATCGCCTAGGATGGATAACTAGACATAGGTGTTGTTCCCTGGTAGGTCTAGGTACTCATGCCCACCTTTGGGTGCGTTTTTGCATGTTGCCTTCTATTCAGGTTGAGACAGACCTATTGGACTAGCGAGCATCCTAGAGTGTGTAATATATACATATATGGACTACTCTAGATATTGTTGAGCTATCTAGGATGTATCTACATATCGGATTTCTGTATGGATCGTAGTAAGGTAGGACTTACATGTAGGCCTGACCCACTTTCTTATTTTTTCAGGTGTTCGTCAGTTCCAGGGTTAAAACTTGGGCGTGCAGAGCAGATACTGACACCCATTCCTCTGATTACGTAGGATTGCTTTCTATGTTTAGTTTTACATTATACTTCAGTTGTTTTAGTTTTAGTTTGGGATTTTAATAAGGGGTCCACTGGTTGGATTCCTGAGTTGTATAGATTGGAGGTTCTGGAAAGTTTGGTTTTAATGATAAACGATTGAGGATTTTATTATGTAGTATTCGTTCAACGTTATTATTTATTTCTTCTTAATTCATTTTGTAATCTGTATTCGTTTTAAATATTAATTGTTTGATATTCTTTCAGGTTTGGGCTTGGGTTGATCAACTCGTGTCTCGGATCCGGGGGGTATCACAGCGAATCTCTTCGTATGACGCATTTTATTGACAATTGGTTGGTAGTCTGGTTTATCTCACTTTCACTCGTCCAAACATCTTTTATGTCGTCCATATAGCTAGTCAGTTCATCGCTATGCCTAGATTTACTCAGCTTGCCGCAGTTCTTTGCATCCTTTGTTATCTCAAAGGCACTATGTTTCAAGGGTTTCATTTCTCTTCTTAGTCATCACTTGTTCTCCATGCCTATTCAGATACAGAATGGGCAGGAGATCTCACTGATCGTCATTCCACCATAGGCTTTTGTTTCTTTCTTGATGATTCACTCATCTCTTGGCGCAACAAGAAACGTATTGTGGTTGTTCAATCTAGTACAGAAGCTGAGTATATGAAACTTGCTAATACTACTCTGAGCTTCTATAGTTGCACTGGCTCCTTCAGGACCTGAGAGTTTCCTCATTCACTGCCATTCCTATCTATTGTAATAATAGGAGTGCAATATAGATTAGATTGCACAATGATATATTTATAGATTATATTATATACTAGGGTTATGGTTTTCTGTATTATATAGCCGTCTTCACCCTTTATTACCATTAATAACATTAACATGTGTGGTTTTCTTATTCTGGAATCTCATCTCATGTGACATCTCTTTATAAACCTCATTGGACTATTGTATTACTTATTTAAATATACAATTAAGATATTCAACAAAAAGTAATGATTTTAAAAATTAAAAAATAAAAAACTAAAATAAAAAACCACTTTTCTTCAAGTTAGATCATAATCCAAGATTTTTCTAAAAATCACTCAAAAACTTTTTAAAGTTACTCCTTCCAACCTTTCCATCCAATTGAAATATTTGACTAAATTAAAGTTCTATGGTTTTGATTAAAATTCTTTTCAAAACCATAGAACATACACATTTTAGTTTTAGATTCAAACTTTGTGGTTTTTTAAATTCTTAAATTCATCAACACATATAAAATCCTAAAATTCTTAAATTTAGGTATGAATTCCCAAATAACATATAAATCAAATTTTCAAGAATGAGATTTCGTAAAACCCTAGAAGTCAACCTTCCAACTTAAAGTCTTATAAATAGCTAAAAACCACACCTTTCAAACACTAATTCAATTTTAAATTCTAATTTACATAAAAATTAGGTCGTGGTCATAAAAATTCAAATTCAAATTCAAATTAGGTCTACATTATCATATCGGATATATGAATAACAGATTATACATTATATTAATAGATCAAATTGATCATAATAAATATTAATTTGTTCATCTAATAGATTATTGGATTTAAAAAAAGTTAACATTTTCTAAAATTAATATTCTAATTCATATCAAGTTATGTGATGGATTCTTATCACCTACTGACACACCAAGTTACAACTTACAAGATACAATCAGGATATTGGTCTCTTTTTTAGAGAGTTGATCGCAAAATCACGCGATACAATATTTTGCATTTTTACAATTTTTGTTTTTGTTTTTGTTTTTGCTATTAAAAATGTTGCAATTTGCCCCCTCTGGAATAAGGCCAGGCAAGCCCACAGGATGAATCTTGGTCCTGGTCGGCAATAGACCACAAAGTCCACCACGGCGCACTTTAGAAATTGGTAGTTCTACAGTACGCATCATCTTTCCAATCATCGTCTCAAAGACAAAAACTATATCCAAGTCTCCAAGAGTAATTAGAATATACATATATATATATATATATATAGATCCTTCGTCAGCAAGTAAAATTGGGGGTGGGGGAATTAAACGCGTCCCATCCGTTTATAGAGGAGCAGGTAATAGGTATGTATCATATATATATATAAAATATGTTATGTATATATATTTCTTCTCATCTTTAGTTTTTCGCTAATAAAGGAATTGGTAATAGTAAAGTAACAACAATCTGTGATTCAAATTCTCTCAAGTAATTAATTATTCACGGATCGCTTTATTTCAATTACTTACCTCTATTATTATTATTAGGGGTTGCGAATTGTGATCTGTGAGCTTCTGGAGTGGTTCAGTCATGTCGATGCTCGATTCCTTATTCAACAAGGGCTTCAAAGCGGCTAGATGGTATAATTTCTCCAAATTCTTTTCTTTTTCGTTTTATTTTTGCCTTAAAGCTAGGGAATTTTCAGTTTCTCCTTTTCTACATGCTGTGTTTGGTTGCTGAGAAATTGTAAATTCTGAAATCTGGCCTTTTTTATTTTATTTTATTTTATTTTAAATTCCCCGTCTTAGTTATATGTAGTTCTTAACGTACTTGGCTTGGTTTAGACGTGTAATTACTTTGTGAGAAACCGAATGGGCATAAAACACAAGGATGACATTTTAAATCTCAGTTTTCCAGACAACCAAACGGGTCAAGTTTCAGACTTTCACAAATTTCTTTTTGTTCCCACTTTCGTTTCCTGTAATTGATTACAGTGCTGAATTAGCTCAATTGTAATCATATTGGTGGTATTAGTTTACCTCAATTGTTCTTGGTTGCGTTCTTTACTTATCAAAATAATGGTAATAATAATATTGGGATATATATGCACCCACCCAAAAAGCAGATGTTTGAATTATAGATAAATGCTGTTTCAAAGATGTACTACATCTTCATTTATGTATGTAGTTTTGTATGTAATTTGTTGGTCTGAAACTTGGCGTAACTTGGGGTTTCTAACATGAACTTATATGTGATCTACAGTAAGACCCTACTAAAACTGACGATTCCACGCATAAAGTTGTTGAGGAATAGGAGAGAGATACAGATAAAGCAGATGCGACGAGACATTGCGAAGCTTCTTGAGACTGGTCAAGAAGCCACAGCTCGGATTCGGGTAAAGACCAGTTTTACCGTTCGACCCTTACTTGATGCTTATGTGTATTTCTCTGACCACATAAACTCAATGCCTTTGAAGGATTACTGTATGTGAAATACTTATATGGATTACTCTTATCAAAAAAAAAAAAAAAAAGAAAAAGAAAACTTATAAGGATTATGCTTGCGTTGTGTTATTTATTCTCTTCTGATATTTCCCATTCAGGTTGAGCATATTATAAGAGAAGAGAAAATGATGGCTGCACAAGAAATAATTGAGCTATTTTGTGAGCTTATTACTGTCCGTCTTCCAATTATTGAAACACAGAGGTATACTTCCTAGTTAAATTTGTATTTAGTACATGTTTTGCTCGTTCTCTTCCTAATTATAATATTGTCAGTTTATCACTATGAAATTTCATCCAAGTTCATTGTTTTATATATTTAATCACTTGACAGAACTAACTAGAATAATTTGGTTATGAAGCCTTGCTAAATAGGGTTGATGTCAATTTCAGGTACATAAATTTCCATTGAAAATAAAAATTTGGGTTTTCTTTTTGCATGAATAGCCACTTTGAAATTGATAAACAAGTTAGTAAAATTCAACGCCACTTTCTATTTGAAAATTAATTGGAAAATTTAAGAATGCAAAAAAAAAATCAGTCTGACAAATTTGGCAACTTCAAATCTGGGCCTGAGATATATTGCTTGGAAATTTGTTGGCTATTTATCCATCATAATTCTCACAACTCATTTATGTATAAAATTTTATATTACTTCGTTATTACATTGTGATAATATTTCTTCATAACACCTATGGTGAAAGTTCTTTCTAGTTCTAGGTTTACATATGAAAATGTGACTGGAAGTTTGAGTTCAACAATAACTGCTTAAAATTATGTTTGGTATATATTAGTGGAAACAAAGACTAGTTGCGAGACATAACAGACCAATAAATTTGCAATGCCCTCCAGTGATGTGATACTATATGTATATGTATATGAACTGCTTACCCTACCCCTCTCCAATTGATGTTTTCACAAGGAAGTGTCTCATTTATAAGTTGTAAAGGATAATTTATACAGTGTTCTACATCAGCCTTGCCTTTTTCCCATATGGATGGTGTTGGCAACGTGAATTCTTTTTTCCGTTCTTTCCTATTATTCACCATGCTTCTCTTAGATTTAATTTTTAAAAATAATTTTTAATTACCTCATCTCGTGTAAATTTTGGTCAGCCTCTTTGTTGCTTACCTTTTTGGCAAACAACTCTTCCTTTTCTAACCAGTGCATCATTGGGTCTATGTTGAATATGGCCATACCACTTAGTCTACTTTCTCTAATTTTATCATTTAGAGGCTTTATACCTAAACACCCCTCACACTTTAATCTTTTCTCTTCTAGTTACTCCTTTCATCCAACATAGAATCCTCATTTACACTACATGGATGCGTTGTTCATGTGTTTTTTTTTTTTCAATGCCGAACATTCTGCTGCATACAATATAGCTGGCCTAATAACCGTTCTATAGTTATTTTTTTATTTTATTTTATTTTATTTATTTTATTTTAACTTATCTGGTATTCGTTTGTCACAAAGGATACCACTATGTTGTTTCCATTTTGTCCAGCTTGCTCCAACCCTACTTACTACATCACCATCTATCTCCCCATCATTTTGTAATATTGTTTCTAGGTGATGAAAATAGTTATTTTGAGTAACTCTTTGGTCTTAAATTGTAGTATTTATATTGTTATCATTTGTTCCTTTATCAAATTTACATTCCTTATGTTCTGTTTTAGTTTTACTAGTTTTTAAGCCTCTTGCTTCTATTGCCTTTCTCCATATTTCTAATTTTGTTGCTAAGGCTTCCTTATACACGAAGATTATGTCATCCGCAAATAACATAATGCAATGTTTTCTTGAAGACCTTTTGTTATATTGTCTCATACTATTGCAAATAGGTAAAACACAAGTGTATATGGTGCACCGGAAAAGGTTTTCATTTGTATATGACACTTTTAATGTGACACTCTCAGAAAAAATTCTCAAAATGTGTCATTTATTATAATAATTATTATTTTCATACTTAAATTACTACAATTTGAACAAATGAATTAAAATAAAGAAGCAAAGATAATAAATGAAGGGTAATGGATCTGTGAACTATGTGCATACGGGTATCTGGTCCTCCATTCTATGTATTTCTGAGCCGGCAGTCTACATGGCACAATGACAAAGGCATATGTGTCAGTCCTTCGGATCTACAAGTTGGTTCCTACCTCTAATTGATGGATGCCATAGATCCACGTTTCAGATCATGACATATGTTGAGTCTGCATGAAACTTCGAGCAGATCTATCCCAGAGTCGGTGCATATAGTGTGCATATAGCGCTTGTCCGAGTTGTTTTGTCAAATGGGCACAAGAGTAAAGAGTTATTTTTGCTATTGCATGCCTACATGAGTACATAGTAAATCCAACTTTTGGTGTGCAGTTGGCTCTCCTAACTAACTTGCTACTCACCTTCATTCTAGCCAACAGTCTTTTGGCTACATGGTGTCACCTCATGAGGTTAGACTGTGCACTTCGCCCACAAAATTAGTGTTGTCTGATGATCTCTACCTTGATTTGTCCATTGATGCACACCTTGCATTATCTAGATTGGGAACAAGACTCAAGGAGCTTTTCGATCTCTGTTCTCTGCCTCACACAGTGAGGCGCTAGTTCACATGGGACCATATGAGCACTTGATGTTGTGGTTGAAGGCTTGAAGCATAAGAGTCTGCTGAGGAGCTCCTTGTGGTATATGCCTCGCCTGTCTTAGAGACAGAGAAACATCATTTGACTTCCAAAAGTATTGTCTTAAGGATGTTAGTATTCTCTGTTGGACCATGCTATTAATAGGTATTACATATTAGTGTTACTTATTGCCATGCCACGTATTTGATTCCACTACTCCACATACTGTTGAGTGAACAGTATGCCTCACATATTTGCCATTCATGTGGCATCACATAAATGGCCACATGGCCCTCTTGTAGCTCAAAACGAGGCATTCTTTAAGGTTAATACTTTCCACACTCCAATTTATGAGTGAACTCAGCTACATAGGACATGTGGTCGCCCAGAACATGCACATGACACCACCCTGTACTTCAAAATGGGAAGAAGAGCAAGAATTCTCTCTTTTGCGCACTTTGCTTTCCTAACTCATGTGGTCTCTTTAACCGAGACAACGCTTTTCTGATCACATGGTGTCCTACCTCCATGGTGTTAGGATGATTTTTCGGTCACATAATCAGTTTTTCCTAGTGAGATCAACCTTGCTCCCTCCCATCTAACAAAAACATCTCAACACATTCTACATGGATGCACCTCCTGCTCGCTATTTGTTGGGACTGGGATTCAGGGAGCTCCTTGAGCTCTAAATGCGGCTTTGATCTCCCTTCTTGTTACATCATAGATCACTTACGATCTTATGAGTACTTGGCTTGGTGGTGGAATCATTGGTTGAGGTGTCCCTCCTGCATTCTACACCTCAGACCGTCTTTAAGAGGGAGACATATCATAACTTCTGAAAGCATATACCTTAACAATGTGGCAACATCCCATTGGACCATGATGTTAACACGTGATAGCAGCATATTGGATCATGCTTTAAAGACGTGGCAGTATCCTATGGAATGACCCTATTGTGTCTCATTGGACCGCCTCTTTTTGTTCCATTTGTTGCCACCTTACTGCCTTGTTGCTATCCTATTGCATTGCATCACTGCAAGTGTCAGCAACTCATTGGTGGCATTAAGGGGGCGTGGCAGCATTCCATTAGGACCTCAGGTTGGCCTGAGCACTCAGGGAGGAGTCCCAAGCCTGGTCCTCAGAGGATCAGGCTAGGACCAAGCCCTGGGCCACTAGGCTGGGTTTTTGCTTGGCACGATGAATGCCTAATATCCGGATATATGTACTATGTGTGTATATATATATGTATATATTTATTTATGTTTTGAAGAAGTGTTACATATATACACTACACATCAGCTGATCTGATCAGAATAGGTCAGATCCTAAGAAATCTTTTAATAGTTAAGAAATAAAACCTAATTTCCGAAAATCTTGGACCTAGTGAAAATTTAAAAGCAAGTGATACCATATGAAAAACTTGCACCTAAGAAAACCCAAAAACAGTAATGGAGAAAAAGGGAAAACAAGTATATGGATACATATGATGGGTTTAAATCAAATCACCTGACTCAGAATAAAAATTAATTTATCATATATTCATTTTAGATAGAAAAAAAGAAAAGTATCAATACCACATATCAGAAGTAAAGCAATCAGTAAGAAAAGAAAAATTCACAAGAAGTGTAATTGAAAGGGATTGGAGAGATACTTAAAGAAAATCTAGAGAAAATACTCACCATTGTTACTACTGTAGTTAAATTTTGATGACGACAGTTTCAGCTGAAACAATATCTAGAGAAAACACTTGCCATTATTGTTTGTTCACCTCCAAGACACCATCACTTGAAAGTGGGTGCTCTGATCTTGATTGTGCTCTGTTACTTTGTTTCTGTTTCTAGAAAATAAAGCAAGGTGGGGAGGAAGATTATAAGGTAGCATGGCATAAGGATTTGTTTGGATTTTTTGTTTTTCATGTTTATTAGTTTTGTATTTGTATGTATATATATGTAGGTGTTTGTGTAAACACTTGTTGGAAATTTGGAGTCTAGAGCCTTCATGGAAAAAGTTCTGAGTAGAAACAAAAGGATGGTTGAGAGAATCATTAAAGAAAGAATTACCCTCAAGTGGGTAAGTCACTTGTCCCTACTGCCTCAGGAGGCATCAAATCTAAGGTTTGACTTCTCGGGGGATGGGGTGGGGTGTGAGTATCAACTAGGGAAAAAAAAATCATTAAATAAAGAATTGTAACAAGAAAATTAATTGCCAAAGCATATACTTGAAATAGAACATGTTAAATATATAGCTGGACTATGTGTGCTAGATATTTGTTACATATATAACTCATATATAATATATATATATATATATATATATATATATATATATATATCTTTTGTTTTTGTTTTTTTACCTTCCAAATGTGTACTTGCACCATATGTTCATATAATATGTATAAGAGCTTAATATATGTAACTATTAGTGTCTGTGTGTTTGAGGACCGATTAGTTCTAGGATCTCGTCAAATATCCTTATATATAGTACATGAAAGAACTAAATAAAGTATTTAAGTATATATAACAATTATTCAAGTATATAAATAAGTTTTAAGTATATGCATACATGTATATATAAACTTAAAATAACA